AAGGAAAGGAAAAGAAGTAAGGAAGGAAAGCCCCACCTGTTCATCACCTCTTACGTACAAGGCCGGCCACGTGGATGACAGGTTGAGCGCTGGCTGCCCCCATCCATCCCCGTGTGTCACAAGGACCCACTTGCACGCAGCCAAAAGGCGAAAAAGAGGAGGTAAAGAAAAGCAGGAGGAGGAAACCAAACCTCACAGAGGCCAGAGAAAGAGAAAGGTCAAACATTTATTTTCTCAACATTTTGTTTTTTCAAAGGAAGAAAGCAAATGACACATCCCACAGATAAACCAGTTGCCATTGTCACTACAAAGTTCAACATCTTTTTTTTCTTTTTCTCTTTTTTCTCTTTTTTCTTTTTTCCTTTTCTCCAGAAATTTGTACTTTTTCTCTTTCTTTCTTTTATCTGTCCTACAATATTTGTATTCTTTTCCGGGGAAGAAGAAAGAGTCGACGCCTACCGGTAGAGGTTGGCTGTTCGTCCGCTCTCGCCAACTTGATGAATCAGTCCTGTTCGACGAGGCGTCAACTCTCGCGCTACCTTTGTTATGATGCCACGTGCCACGCTGAAAAACAGTCCCAATCCCACACCCTCATCGCCACTGACAGTCACCAAAGAGATGACACTCTCCTTTCTTTCCCCTCGATTTATGCGTGGCATCCTTTCGCAGCCGCCATGCAAATCTTCTGCCTATGTGTATTAAAAAAAATAATAATAATAAATAGAAAAAACTCCCTATCTGCGAGGCTCAAGGCCTCGATCTGCCCTATTGGGCCCTATTTTCTGTACAGTCGGCCGCCCTAAGTGAAGGCCGGCTCGACCCAGGGCCTACAGGCCTACCTTTGGGGTCACCGCGCAACTGGGCAATTTCAGGCAGTTGCGCAGGGCCAGTTGGTTGAGACCGCCCAGGCCCAGGCTTCCTTTTTCCGTATGTAACTGAGGCAGGCCAGATACGCAACACGGACCGCACATAGGCCGAGGGCAGTTGGACATGGGCAGAGGCCCAGGGCCTGATTCATTTGGACTGGGGCACAACCTCTCTGGGCCCGGAAGCATCTGGGGAGGGGCCCAGCGCAGCCAGACTTCACGCAGCAGGCAGGCAATTTCCATTTAGGAAAGTGCCTGCCCATGCATTCCTCATTCGGGCACTGGCTGCATGCTGTGCCAGTGCTGCCAGCGCTGGCACGCTCATGGGCAAGCTGGATGAGCAGGCAGCCATAGCCGAGCTGCGCTGCTGTATGCTGGATGGGGCGCATGGTGGTCCTTGGGTGCAGGGGATCGAGGTTGTGAGTGATACGAGAGACATACCTGGCCTGGTGCTTGAAGCGAACGGCATTGCCGAGATCTGCTCGTACTTCGGGGAAGCTGTTGACATCACCAGCGGCATTGTAGATTAGGCTAGATAGGATCTGCCATGAGTAGTCTGGGCGTAGAGCGCCAGATAGGATGTCGACATTGGTTCTTTGTTGATGATGATGGGACTATTTGAACATTGTCACTTATGAGCTTTTGCTGTGTTCTTATTTGGTGGAACTCGTGTTGCAATTCTGCTTTTGGTTCGAGGTCTCGACTATCGCGTCACATGTGTATGATGCTGCTTGGTTTCTGAAGTTCGCTATCCCTCATTTTCCTTGCAGATCTTTGAATTTTGAAGGAAATTATCCAGCGGCCTAGCTCATTTGGTAAGGCACGCAAGAGGCATTCAGGAGGTCTTGGGTTCAATCCCCATCGGCCGCATGTACCTTCCTGGGCATGCTTGGCGCCGACCACCTAGAGATAGCCCGTTGGTCCCCCCAATTGGCATTAAAAAGCAGTCTCTGCTGATGTTCATAGGGGGAGGGGTACTTGGGGAGACACAGCACAGCGACTGGGCACTCAGATGATGCTCGGTCCCTCTGCTACCGGCTGTCCCCTGGCCTGTATCTTCCCCCCCCCCAATGAAGGCAATAAATAAAGGCCACCCTGGGCTGAAAGGCCACCCGGTGTCCGATTAGAGACAAGATTGAATTTACCTGGGTTGGTTAGTCCGATGATAATACCTCAAGGCCATTGCCCTTTATTATAAAAATAAAATAAAAAACATTCTACATGTAACTGGACGGTTGGAAAGACTAGATACATTTGAACTTAACTAACATTTTGAATCTATGTGACATGGGGTTCTGATTCCCTTGTTCAGGTCGTTGTAGGTGGTGGCGAAGGCAAAGTGTTAGCGTTAGTGCTACCGCTCTCGAACGTTAGCATTAGCGCCTCTGAATTTTTTCACCGGAGCGAGCGCCTGGGCTGTGGGGGATCGCGTTCGTGCAACTGTGTTCGTGCAGTTGTGATCAGTGTTGCGCGGTGCCAAAACCTAGGGTTGGGGTGGCGGAGGCGGTGAGGGAGAAGAGGCGCGTGGGCGCAGGGTGGGGACTGCCTTGAGGAAGCACTGAAACGCTTCTGCCATATCCTGGTCCCTGTCGGCGCTGTCGATGTATGTTGACATTCCCTAAGAGACTACGGGAGGATGGAGGAGATGTGTGGTGGTCCACACTGGGTGCCGCACATACACGTATGTGAACCTGTCAGGGACTTTTCCCCTGGCTTTGATATGGAGTCAGAAGCTGAAGATTCACGGGGAGATGAGAGACGCGTGTGCATCGACGACCGCCGGCTTGTGACGAACCACTTCCCGACCCCGTGCTATCTTTCGTACCCCCTTGGCCCAATACCCCTTCGTGTATCATACCGACCCCCCTTTCTTGATTTCAAGCGCCTTGTTTGAGCCCCCATTTTTCGGAAGTTCTATTGATTTTTAGAATTCTGCTTTTTTGCAATTCGGAAAGTGCACGGGAAATTTCGCGCGCCTTAGCGAATGCACTGGGAATCGGGCTTGACAGTTAGGAATTACGGAATAGGCGAGGCTCGACGTATCTTTTTCATGCATGAATGTTCTTGGTCACGTCGGAGAAAACTTTAGGAATTTTGCGAGAATGCGGATAGGCATAGGACTTTCTTTTCCCCCGTCGACTTTCGTGCGCGGATATGGTGATTTCAAATTTTGAATTGGTGTAGGATATAGGCAAGCTGTAACTGTTTCGGTGCCTTTGTTTTCTTTTGCTATCGGCACCGCGCATACGAGCATCCTCCTCCTTATTTCCTGCGCCATCCCTCCCCCGCATTCTCCCCTCTCCCTTCCCCTTTTTTTCCTTCTCCTATCGCAACCGTTTTTCCCTCTCTGCTTTTTGCGCGCYTGCTTCCCTTTCTTGATCATCTTAATCTTGGACCCGTCCCGCGCTGCTTTTCGCGCTTCATCTCTTCCCGCTCATCAACCTTGGCTCACGTAAGCCCGGTTGATCCTCCGATCACCCTTGCTCACCAATCAGACGCGTTGAACAAGAGGATCTTCCTATTGCGCGACGAATCTGATTGGCTGACCATTGGGTTCTGAAGGATCAACATGGCTTACGCAGCRCGCTCCCCGTTAAGTCTCCTCCTTCTGCCTCTTCTCTTACACCTCGACTTTCCCCCTGCCTTTTCCCTCCCTTATCCTCCTTCTCGCAACTATAAATTCCGCAAGCGCATCCGCAAATCTCTCTTACGTTCTCGACTCCCAAGCCAGCTTCCGGGAAGTAGTGGCTAGGCGATGCATTCGGTGCGAGTCAGAAAGTCCTGTCGGGCTGACCGTAGTCTGGCCAGTTGCRCGCTTGATCGCCATGACGGACTGTGGGATCAGGGCGAGCTGAGCCGAGTTTACGTCGGCGGGGTGACGATCGCAGTGGCAGAGGTTAGCACGCGACGGTCGGGATCGTCGGTGCCGGTATGAGGATTTGTGATTGGGGTTGAGTGAATGGTTGGCCCGGGGCCATATTGGAATTTTACTGCGAATGCGCCTTCGTTGCGGATCATTTTTCTGGTGTGAGTTCATGGTTGTGAAGCTAAATGCTCTCTTGTCGGATTTTGGTGTCTTCTGTCTTGGTTTTTCTCATCTATCCCTCCCACCTCTCTCTCTCTCTGACTTGAATGATGATGCATCGATGGTTTGTCCCTCTTGTGAACAGAAGYAAGCTCGCGAGAGTTCTCGCAAGGAAGAACTTCTTTCGGAACTCTTCCATTAGTTTCAYGGGTAATCYCTAGATGTCGAGGAATTGATCCTCTTGTCTTGTGAATGGTGGATGCGTGTGTACAGTTCCCTCGGTTGATTTGTAACGTATGCACCCCTAGTCATTTTTGCACCTTCCACAGTGGATGTATGTACGTAGATGCTTGTCTTTTTGTGTTGATTAGACTCGACGACGGGATTTTATTCGAGAATGCAAGAGTGTTTAGATCTAGGGTGTTGAATGCACTCCGCATGCCATCTGCCTTATGATGCACGACATCTGCAACCGATCTACAGGGCAGCCTCGAAAAACAAGGCGCCTCGGATCAACGCTGCGTCGGCTTACTAAACCTGAGTCGCGGGTCGGTCCCTCGGTTAAGTGCATGATCAAACTAATAAGCGCTCCCTCTCTCGTGTCAAAAAGAATTGATTGGTTGTTGTGCGGGTGTTGTTTTTCCTTGATGACGTCTCGGGATTTTTGCAATTGATTGATATGTGGACTAACGAACGCCCTTCGATCAAGCGCCAGCCTCCCGTATCTCCTGTGCCGGCGCGACCTTTTCCTTACGATGAGGAAAGGACACGTGTATGCGAGTGGGACGTACGAGAAGTTGTCGCACGGATCGGCGGACGGTATTACTTCCCTCCTGAAAATCGTTGCTCAGGATTCGTGGATGCTGGATTTGTCATCATCGATACTCACTTTCCGCTTTACTCGGTATTATTGCCCTATAATATCACCAAGAAGAACAAGACGAAAAAAAAAATAAAAAATAAAAAAATAATAATAATAATAATAATAAATTAATGCTACTTATCGTTTTAATCAGATACACGTTTGGAGTTTGACGGGAAATCGGCAGTCCAGGCGAGAATCCTCTACTTTCTCTCTTATACACACACCCACACACGTACTCACGTACACACCCTCGTACATACATGCCATGCATACATAAGCAGTAGTGGCATATGCTACTGTGTTCTAGTGATAGACTCATTTGATTTCGCTCGTCCTGCTGATGAAAGTAGCATGCACTCCGTAGCGAGATCAACACACACTCGTGTGTACTCAAACAGTAGTGCATATTTTCTTGTCTTAGCAGTAGATTCATTCGATTCTGCCCATCCCATTGGCAGAAGTAATCGAGGTCTTAGCGTGATCGTCACACATTCGTACACCCGTATGAGCACACACACACACACACACACACACACACACACACACACACACACACATAATGTTACATACTGTAAAGGTGCAGACCAGATACCACTGATCCGAACAATCAATGCTGCAATACAACCCCAATCATGCATCATCATCGTTCCATGATGTGAAGGGGTCTGGCGCTCACACAGGAAGAATGCGCCAACCCCTGCCATACACAGACGAAGAGGAGGGGATCAGATGAAAGGAGGGGATCAGACGAAAGGAGGGGGAGAGATGGGAATGTGGTCAACACAAGGTTTTGGTCGCCAATCCTAACTAATCCCTCGTGGTCATGTCTGAAGTCCCAAAGCCGAGTCTGAATTCGGTGTCACCAAGCTCTGTCTCCCTCTCCTCTCGTAGTCTGCAGATGCATTGAAGTCAGATGTTGAGAGGGGGAGGAGAGATGGTGGACTTGGAAGAGAAAGAAGAAGAACTCTCTCTCTC